TGTGTCCGAGTCCTGGCTCTCTTCAGATGACTTTATTGGTGATCTGCTTATAGACTTTGCGTGCTACAGGGCTGACAGGCCCGGGTATCAGATCGGTGGAGGAGTACTCTTGCTTATAAGGTGCCAATATAAACACTGGGAGGCTCCATTTACCATGAGTTCTGCTAACGTTCAGGTGGTTTCCTGCTATCTAAGATCATGGGGTAAATTGGAGATTATAGTATGTGTTTATCGTAGCCCATCGTCTACCCGAGAAGAGGACAGGGATCTTGGTATGTTACTAAGACAGGCGGCAATAGCCGCACCTAATTTTCTGATCGTCGGTGACCTAAACCTTCCGCATGCTGATTGGCAGCATGCTGAAAACAGAGTGGGTACTTTAGAGAAGGAACTAGTAGATTGGATGCACGTAAATGCCTTCGAGCAATACGTCAATGTCCCGACTAGAAGTCGTACTGGGAGTACCCCTTCAACCCTTGATATCGTGATCGCCAGACATGGTCACTTAACTGACCTATGCGTGGAGCCACCCATAGGTAAGAGTGATCATTGTGTTTTGACCTTTTCTCTGGACACACCGAGGCTTGCAGAGAACCGTCGAATGGGAAGAGATTTAAATCGTATTGATTTTACGAAATTGCGGGATCGAGCCCTTCAAATCACTTGGGTCCCTGAACAGGACAAGGCCACTTTGGAACAGAGGTGGCTTCTACTTAAAAGTGGACTTGTACAGTTGCTGAATGAATTTGCTCCTCTTCGCCCTAGGAGACATCTTGGGAAACCCCGATGGTGGAGAAGAAAAATTGATAGAGCGATAAAGAGGCGCAATGCTGAGTGGAGAAAATATCAAGAAATCCGGGGCTTTCGACGCTGGCTGCAGTACAAAAGGTGTCGAAACATGGCTATTAAGCTACAGCGGCAGGCGAAGTACTCATATGAGCTTAGGTTGGCTAAAATTGCGAAAACTAATCCCAAGTGTTATTACAGTTATGTCCAAGCAAAGGCTCTCTAAGAGAGTTGGTCGGCTGTCTAACCATGGAGGACGGTTCCCAGGCTGTCGACGACGTTGATAAAGTAGAAGCGCTGCTACGTGTCTACCAAAGCCTGCATCGGAAGGATAGTGGGTCAGCCTTACCATCACTACCGCACTGCTCAACTAGCTACACAATGCGGGAAATTATTCTCAATGTGTCAGAGGTCTTCACAGTTCTGGCCAATTTGAACCCTTATAAATCAGCCGGTCCTGATAGCGTACATCCCGCCATAGTTAAGCCTCTGGCTGATATCCTGCAGTATCCCGTAGTGGAGTTATTCAACCAGTCTCTTCAAGAAGGCAAGCTGCCACGTGATTGGAAGGAGGCGACTATTGTTGCCATCCACAAGGGGGTTCTAAGTCGGTGCCTCTTAACTATAGACCTGTTAGTTTGACCAGCATCATGCTGAAGTGCTTGGAAAAGCTTATAAGAAATAAGATCTGTGAGCACTTAACTGAGCACAATCTAATTAGAGCGGAACAGCATGGCTTTCTTAAAAAGAAGTCGTGTCTTACCAATTTATTGTGCTTTTTAGACGAGATTACCCGATGTCTTGATAGTGGGATATCGGTAGAGGTGTGCTATTTAGACTTCAGTAAAGCCTTTGACTCCGTGAATCATCGATTTTTAATTGAGAAGCTGACATGGTTTGGATTACATCCTCAACTACTACTATGGCTCTCTGAATTCTTACGTGGAAGGACATTCAGAGTCAGCGTTGGGGAAGCGAGTTCTAGTGTTGGTCATGCCTACAGTGGTGTCCCTCAAGGTTCGGTTCTGGGTCCATTGCTATTTCTTATGTTTATAAATGACCTGGCTCCTCTTCTTGAGGACCCCTGCTACATCTTCGCAGATGACTTGAAGCTGGTCAGTAGGGGAAACCGTGCGACATTGGCTAAGGACATCCTCACTGTGGTGAATTGGTCAAGTCAATGGGACCTACCTCTAAATGCCAACAAATGTCAACTATTGACTAGTAGTGGTAGCGGAATTGCAGTTCAGTCTCCTGTGGGATTTCTATCATTGCGGTGCACTGACGAAGCCCGTGATCTAGGTGTCATCGTAGCGAACAATTTTAAGCCTTCGGCACAGTGTCGCCATGCTGCCAATAAAGCACGACACGAATTATTTCGTCTTAGGAGGGCGCTGAGTAACACTAAAGCAGAAGTATTCTTGCCCTTATATAAAGCAGTGGTCAGGCCACATCTGGAGTATTGCGTTCAAGCCTGGTCACCGTACCTCCGTAGTGACATCACTTGTATAGAAAAGATTCAGAAACTTGCGAAGACCCACCCAATCATGGTTTAGGATGATGGGGGATCGGGTGCTGGGGTATGATTGTGATAGGCTGGACCACGGTGAGGGGCTGGATGCCGGGTGCCGGTAGGTTCTTGATTGATTCGGGGTGCGGGCGGTCACGAAGGCGTCTCCCAATAAAAAGAAACACCAGACAGGCGAGGGTGATGAGAGCATGATTGGGGCTTTGGGGAGGCGTTCGTGATTACTTGATGCGCTGAGGCGTGGTCATGATTTTGTTTGAGGACACGAGCCATCCGCGCACCATGGAGTCCATAGGTGATGGATTGGCGCGAAGGCGGGGGGTTCCGTCAGCCCGTGATGAGGCAGGGTAGGCGGTAGGATAGGAATTGTGACGCAACATGAGTATTTAACTTAAGGAGTTTGATTGGTGGGTATGCGGAAGATATGACCTCCGTTGCGTTGGATGAGAACGAGGGTCGCGGTCAATGTGATTTGGTATGATTAGTAGGAGGGGGTAGGGCGGGCTCCGGCTGGATGGAGAGACGGTGATGGTTCTTGGGGGGAGTGGAAGTTTGCGGATTGCGATGGGGGGGGGCTGGAAATGATTAGGAGAGGGTTAATCAGGAGGCGCAGGGGTTCTGACGAGGTTGATTTTGCGGGGGCGACTATTCGGCTTTGCCGGGGCGATGGGATGCCAATTGAGCCGGGATGGAGGAAGGTGAGATGATTTCGCCTAGGATGTGAGACTTAGACGTGAACGCCTTGGGTGTGTTTTGCGGGAGAGTGGGTTGGGATAGTTGTGATGTGATTGAGGACCTGGAGGAAGCGTCATGGGGGTGATCTGTATGAGTTGCATGTGGGCGGGAAGCAGGTGATGATTTTGGGTTGGATGGTGATGGACCCCCAACTAAATAAACTCGTTTCTCCGGAGTGGTTGGAAATCGAGATGATTAATTGTAAGAGTGTAAGGGGTAATATGGTAGCTAGGTTGGGAATATGGATTGCTGTTAAAGGTGCGGGGTAAAAGGGTTTTGGGAGTTTGATGCCAGGGTGGATGTGGGGTTTGTGCGCCAGTAGATGGAAGGAGCTAGGGGGGATGTGTGATGGGAGGGATGTTTGTCGCAGAGGGGAATGAGCATGGCGGGCGGCGCGGCTGTATGGTATAGGGCCCTTAGAAGGCGTATCCGGGGTCATGTGTGGACAGTGTCTATCGGCAATAGCAGGGCCGTATTGAGGGCTGTAGGAATGGGTGCGCGGTGGGAAGGAGGGGAGGACTTCTTGATGAGGGGGAGCTTTGGATGGATGAGGCGTAGGAGATGACATTAAACCGAGGCTATAAGAGGAGGCTGCGGGGCGGGGGGGCTGTGATGGGCGATCGCATGCGGAGTGATGGGTGATAAACCTTTAAGGATTGGCCCTGGTCGATATATAAGATGGGAGGCTTTGTTTTGGCGGTGTGGAGGGATAATGATATCTCGGAATTGGTTGTGGGGTGCGGGTTGCTGGGTTGGATGTGATAGTGCTGAGACGGTGCGGTGGGTTCTGGAGGAAGGCGGGGTGAGGGGGATGGTTCGGCCAGAGGATGTAATGAATTTGCGAGCGGAGCCTCGCGCATCCGGCGCGGGGGCGTTGGGCGATGTCAGATGGGGAAGCTGGATGATTGGCTAGTGGAGACGCTTGGCGTGGTGTCACGATGTATATGCGGGGGTTGAATGGGGGGGTATGATGGTGATTAGGGAGATGAGGGCGGAGGCGTGCTGTATCGGGATGATGGGACGTGTGCCTGCGGATAGGCACTATGGGGCTGCGTATCGTTGGATTGTCGCGGGTGGGATGCTGAGTTGGGTGAGAGGCTATCCCAGGCGCGCCGTGAACCGGCAGGTATGTGGATCGGGAGGTGGAAATGGATTGCTCTCGCTTGCATCTAAATGTCACGAATGTGGGGGAAGGGTATCGATCGTGTGTAGAGGTGGTGTGCGTCTGGGATTGGAGGGGGCGGTTGCATCGGATTGGTTAAGTGACATGTGGGCCAGCAAGATTTGCGAGAGGGGATACGAGTTTCAGGGAAGATCGGAGGCATTGGGTTGGGGAGGTGGAGGGACCCATGGCGGGGATTAGGGGCGATTGAACGAGGATAGGGCGGGACAAGTGTGTGGCGTGCGGGGAATGGTTATACGCGTAGATGCGCAGGAGAGATAGCAGTAGGCGGTGGCGAATGGGTGTCTGGAGTGGCGGAATGGATGAGCCTGCGGTTGGGCCGGAGAATGGAGGAGGGCGATTATGGAGGGCCGCGATTGTATTGCGCGGCGCAAATGACTCGGGCGTAGGGATGATTGGTTTGCAGAGCTGGGCGCACGATGGTGTCGGATGCGGGATGGGTGCTGGATGATTCGATTGGAGGAATGGCATGGATGGGTATGTGAGCGGATCGGGCGCGGGGCGAGATGGGAGGGTTACAGATTGAGTTGGGAGGATGTTCGGGAGGGGGCGGCGATGGTCATTCGAGGCAGTCGTGATGGACGGAGTCCTTCCCGGAGGAGGAACGTCGTGATGATTGTTGTGAATGTATTGGATTGGGGACGGACGGTGAGGAGATGGATTGGAGTTGGGGATCTTTGGAGGTAGGCGGTGTGGTTCTATGGTGCGGAAATGATAATGGGGGTAGGTGACTGTGGCGGGCCAGATAGGTTTCATGATGGGGGATGATGATTTGGATTGCAGATGGTGGCTCATGGAGATGCGGAGGATGATGAACGGCATTAGGAGGAATGGCTCCTGGGCTGTACGAATGGGGGCGGGTTATGAGTTGAAGCATGGGCCGGCGGTGGGAATGGGAATGGCCTGACTGGGGTTGCCCGTTTTGCGATGATGGGGTTTGGACGGGCATGATGGAGATGGGAGGAATCATCTTCCGATTATTCTTTACCATTTCCGGATGTGAGGAGTGGGGATGATTGTTGGGATGCATGGAGATGGATGTTGTGATGGGCACTATAATGGATGATGCTTGATTGAGTTGTACTCCGCAGGGCGTACGAGGGAAGGGGTGTGTGGAGGTGATGGATGATGAGATATACTGTTGCGTGCGGGTCGGGGACGTAGAATGGAAGGTGTTCACTGGAGTGGCGAAGTGATGATAGAGATTGAGATGTTGACCGCAATGAAGAGGGGGGGAATGGGTCATAGAAGAGATGTCATTTGAAGGATACGAAGGGGGAGTACGGTGAGAGCACGAATTGGGCTATTGGATCGATGATGATAGTTCAGTGGGGTGATGATTGAGGTCATCGCGATTGTTTGCGCTCGGTGGCTTTAGATGGTCAGGATCGATCGGGTGGGGTAGACGTTGTAGGGCGGAGGAATGGGATCACCGGAGACCCGTCGGGGCGGAGGTGGAGTGGCATGTTGTTCGGGCATTGGTTCAAGGATGGGGTTGGTAATGCCGGACGGGTTGAATGTATGGGCAAGGCGTGTTAGCGGTCCAGCCCCATGTGATTTTCGGGGGATCGAATGGGCGAGAATGCGCTTTGATTGAAGGTCAACGAGGGAAGTCTTATGAAGATCGTCTAAGTAGCTTAGGATTATTTTCCCTGGAACGGCGTAGGTTGAGAGGGGATTTGATAGAGACGTTTAAGATCATTAAGGGACTTAGTGGTATTAGTTCCACCCATCTGTTTGAACTGGCTACGTCAGACCATCTGCGCGGGCATCGCCTGAGGCTTAAACATCACAGAGCTCGTTTGGACATCAGGGCAAAGTTTTTTACGAACCGGGTAGTTAACTACTGGAATAAACTCCTTCTGATTTAGTGGAGTCTTAGACAGTAAGAAGCCTTCAAAAGGGGCTTAGACAATTGTTGGTCCATCCTTTTTCCAGAAATATTGTAGTTGTACTTTAATATGTAGTGTATTTTGATGCTGGCATATGAAAGTGCAGAGATTGCTCTTGTTCTTGCTTCATTCCATTGCAGAAGCAAGAAGAGACAATCCAACGTCGAAGTGCCGGGGGTCGCTTCACTTACCGGCACAAGAACTGGACGCTCGTTAGGCGGAGGCCTCTATCGTCCATCTGACCTGACCTGACCTGACCTGACCTGACGCCTAGGTCATCTTGAAGTGACATTCGCGGAACTTCATTACCCCAGGGTAAATAGTGCGTCGGTAGGTCATTGGATCCTACTCGCAAAACTGAACATTTAGTGAGAGTAATAGGCGGCTGCCGCAAAACGGACCAGTTCCATAGTCTATCCAGAGGGCCAGTGGACCACTAGATTCATTTTCTGTAGACAATAAATTTAACTTGTCAGCGAAAATTATTGATGGCACTCCCAGTTCGTGTGGTAAGTCATTAACGAATACTCTGAATAACAAGGGCCCAAAGACCGACGCTTGCGGGACACCGTGGTGAACTCGCTGATTTGGAGACAGGCTGGAGCCCACACAAACGCACATCTTCCTTCCGGTTAAAAAAGCCGAAATCCATTTCAAGACTGGCCCCGTGATACCATAAGTCTGGGACTTGTACAAACGGAGGGAGTGCGGAACAGTGTCAAAGCTTTGGAGAAGTCGATGAACAATACGTCCAGGGCTTTTCCATGATCAACCGCATCGGCCCAATGTTCGCGGGCAACTAACAATTTGGTAAGGCAAGAATAGCACTTACGATAACCCAGTTGGGAGGAGCTGAGTAACCCAAACGCCTTTAAATGGCTTTCAAGGGCATCCCTCACAAGTTTTTCCAGGAGCTTGACCAACACGCTGGTTAGGCTAACAGGTCTATAGTTCTCAGGGTGTTTGTCACCCTTTTTAAAAACCGGGCATACAACAGCGTTTTTCCAGTCGTCAGGTAGAGAACAGCTGCGCAGTGACTTCTCAAACAGTCGCGTAATTGGACAGCAAAGTTCATCTGCCAACTCATACAACAGTTTGGGGTGGATAGCGTCCAATCCTGCTGCCTTAGTAGGATTTAGCTCTCGTAGAAGCTTGAGCACCTTGGCCTCCGATATGGAAACCTCCTCCAGATAAGCGTCTACAGGAACCTTAACTTTCAAACTAATGCTCGGCAGGTGCGACTCGCGGACAAATACACCTGCATACTGTTCCCCAAGCAAGGATGCCTTGTCAAGATCAGAGACAGCAGCAGAGCCGTCTGGACCGAACAACACCGGGATGGACGGGCTCATGTTGCCTCGCCTTTTAATATAAGCAAAGAAGCGTTTTGGGTTTGATGAGGATGTACGGGCAAGCTCGATTTCATGTTGTA